AGAGCAAATGACAATCTCTCCTCCCCTCCGAGTCTTTTACCGCAGCCCTTGCCAAGCTGTTCTGCACCCTGCCCGTCCCCAGCACCCTTTGCTGGGCATTTCTTCCCCCGTTGAACTGTCGCAGGGCTGTACGTGCGAGGGTGCCCCGAGCCCCGGCCAAGAGCTCGGCCAACGGCAGAGCCCGTGGGGCACAGCTTGGAAGTGCTGCCTACTGCAGGGGGTACCGGTCAGAGCAGGCTACCTAAAACTGCAGTTTAGAGTCGACAACAAAATGGGTTTGTTCTGCTCGTTCTTTCGGATTGTGTGTTTCCTTATGCACACTGTAAACAAAAATTAGGGCTATAAAATAAAAGCAAAGTGCACAAAATTGCACTTCCTGATGCTGTTCTTCGTAATGCCACCTAACAGTGAGTCTGTTCACCAGATAACTTCTTAATTAGGTTTAGTATCATTAGTTGTATCTTTAAAAATAACTGAGGGGGTATTTCTGAGGGGTGTGGATTAAGAATGTACGAAATGGCTGCTGTAATAAGCTATACTGTTATATGAAGATTTCCTTTCCTTTGCAAGTATTTCTTGGCACTGGAGCTCAGTGCAAACGTTTAGAACTTTGTGGGTATTTTTTAAAGCTAAGAAAGAGCAGAACACCCACGTAACTGAACTTTGGGCTCAGGTGCATCCACGTAACCCAGCACAGAATTCACCCTTTCCTTACCAGGGTACTTTAAACACTGTTTGTTGACACAATAACATCTGTGAACTCACAGGTCTTCCTAAATTACAGCTGGTACTATTAGCACACTACATCTTTTAAGTGTACTAGTATTTTTTTTGTTGTTGTTCAAAAAAGCATTATAGTGGTTAATAAAACATTCAAGATTGCTACACAATGAAGAAGAGTTGAAACCAATGCTTTTTATTTTATTTTAAAGTCTGAAGTAGAGAACACAAGCTTGTGTATGCTTTCTTATCAGTATTACATGGCTGAAAGCTGTTAGCTGTTTTCATGGCATATTAATAAATAAGCCCAAATCATAAAGTTATAAATGTATTTGCACATTCCTTTTATAAACAGACTGTTTTATTCATGTTGGCATAGATAACCCATGCAAGGTACAGTTACTCACACCTCATAAACCACACTGCACTCTGTTTCTGAAATAACTAGGAACTTTAAAAAAAATTAAATACATATATATATATCTACCTAAAAGCAAGGGCACTTGTGGTATCAAGTCAACATTTCAATTATTATAAAAACCTACTTAACTATGATGATCACTGCAGGCAACAAATCACTCATTTTTAAATTCTGATGTTTATAAATACTAAACAAATTATTGTTTATTATTTGCTACCAGGAGACAAGTATTGCAAATAAACATTAGCATGCCCAGCATTAGACACTAATAAGAGTGTTTAGTGCTGTGGACATTCACTTTATTAAGTATAAATACAAATAATTTTAACAAAACATTTCACCCAAATTACTGACCACTGAAGGACCAAAGTAAAATATTTTTCATTGCTTTGAGTTTACTTTAGAAATGTGTAATGTGTGAATACACTATCAAAAACTATCTTCTAAAAATAGTTGGCAAAGTTGCTTTTTTGGAAAATAAAGCCAGAGTCATCTTTGGAGATGTTTAATTCATCTTATTCTGGGGAAAAAAAGGCAAAAAAAAAGCAGAAAAAAACATGAATATTTTTTCTGAAGCCTTTGACTGAAAAGATATTGATCATTTTTTAATTAGACAGGTCCTTTTATTTGATCATTCAGAGGTACAGTGTCTTTGTGCCTTTATTATGTAAAGCCCCGTGTGAATTATGCTGAAAAAATACTTGAATGAATTCATGACTTAATCCAAGTATCTGTTACAAGACATAAAACAAACAAGCACAAATTATTCATCTTGCAAACACTATTTTTGAACAGCATTCATGTTTAGTGATAGCTGAAATAAAGGCCCTATTTTTAATTATATGTACGTATATCTTTGCCCCCATATCACAAATAGGACAGCTGGCAGAAGAGTATCAGCAGTTACACGGCATCCTACCTATATGGGAGTTAAAGTTCTATGTTATTATTTGCTAATTTCTGGTTCAGATATGTGCAAAAATTATATCTTAATATAGAAAGCAAGGGCGGGTAAGTGGGTACCCCATTTTTGGACCACATTATGAAGCAGCACAAGTTCCAACAGGAAGTTCACTCCATGCTGTTCCGTGGGCTCGGCCCGCGGAGCTGCACTGCGCCCCTTCCCGCTCCTAGGGCCCTCGGCTGCCTCCAGACGTGCTGGGCTGGGCCTTGGAGGGGGTCGTCTCGGCTCGTCCCACACACACGCGCTCGTGCCACATCTCTGGTCTGCTGCGAGCTGCTTGCAGCCTCACTTCCTGCTCCATGTCTCTGCCCTGAACACAGTGGGTTATCCTGGCTATGCCCCCTTCCCACCCTGTACCCAGCATCTTCCAGAGTCAGTGGAACTGGCCCTTCCTGGCCATGCCCCCCTTCAGCAAGGGCTTCCTCTGCCTTCTCAAAGCCTCATCTTTCCTATGTGACCAGAGGCCCAAGAGTCCTGTCTCTGGGGCCACAGCCACCTTGCCGCCTGCATTGAGGCCCGGCGTCCCTTGCCGACACGACACCCCCCTGCACCCGACTCCTCACGCCTGACCCGAGCCACCTCAGACACCCGCGCTGGCCTCCCGCAGGAGGGGGAGAGCAGCCCTGCCAGTCCCGCTGCCGCCTCAACTAACCGCCTGATCTCACCTAACCCAGGTAAGGGAGGGGGAAGCGGTGAAGAGGGAGGAGGGGAAGCCCCAGCCCTGCTGCCTTCCTCTCTGAGCATCTCCTCAAAGGTCACACTCCCCACACGGCCAGAGAGCAACGTTCAGGGACTTGGCAGAGGGGAGGGTGGAGAGGGAGAGGGCCAGGTGCACACATACAGATTTAGAAGCAGGAGACCTGATGATGACCTCCTGAAGAATCACATCCCCCGGTCTTTTGTATCCTCCCAAAGGAGCCTCACCCCTGTTCTGAGAATCTGTGATGTTGCATATGGTAAGAGAATAGCCCCAGTCAGAAGGTTACATAGAAATTTCCAGGAAGAGCATCTTCAGTGCAGGCTTAGTATGCAACATGTTGTTTCTGAGTCTATCTCTAAGTGATTGAGAATAATGAACACCATCTTTTGTTGAATGACATTCAAAAAAGGAAATACAGAATCACCTCATTCTTACAAGAAACTACTTAATGCAGTCAAAAATGAATGAAAAAAAATATTTAACTTCCATGATTATAATTTGTTCCTCTGGAGAACACTATGGGCCAGATCTTTGGATTATGTAATCAATAGAACCATATTTACATCAGTCCAGCACCAAGTGAAAACAGAAAATTTGTTTACTACGGTAAAGAAAAAAAAAGCTACATAATGTACTGTTTTAGAATAATTCATACATAAAAAAATCAGACCCTGTAGCACTGGGGTCAGATTTTTGTTAGCATCAGTAGTAAGGTACCTACAGAATAAATACAGGTCAGATCAGTCGTGTCAAAACTGCCACAGGCAGCTTTCCGTTATTTTTTTTCCCCCCTAAGATACGAACTGCCTGCAGGTAAGTTTTCACTTGCGCAATAGAACCCTGAATTTCCTTTACTTCCTCTTGCCGCCTCCTCCTGCACACTTTTCACCCCTAAAAGTCATGTTGACTTTCTTAGAAGGGACATGACACATTACAGGAGGGAAAAGCCAATACTAAGTCCTTCATTGTTATGCAAAACTACAAGGTACTATAGGGTGCTGATAAGCACCAGAATGGTACCATAGAAAGCATCCTCAGGTAGCTGAAGCCCAAGAAATTCTAACATTAAACTGTAAGCACTGCAAGATATCAATACAGAATCATAATTCTCTCTTAAATTAATAAAACTTGAATAGTTATCAAACCTTCCACTATAATGCTATTTCCTGTTCAATAGAACCCCCGTTACAGAAGTCACCAATATTTAAAATTAAAAATTATCAGTAATACAAACACTGCTGTCTTTTGAAAAAAAAAAAAAAGTTGCATAACTATCTGAATAACTTCAAAGGTGTTTAAAATATTAGAAGAGATGACTCTATAGTTATCCTTTGTATCAAAGCCTATCTACTGTCTTATAGTGGCAAACGCAACACAATTCAGATTGTATTGCATTTACCTTAATAAAAGTTAAAAAAGACCACATACCTGTGCTGTTGTGCTGCCTTGTGAATTTGTGTCAACATTCAATTACTACAGAAAAAATAAAGATGTTCTTTTCCTAACTACATAGGGACTCAGCAGGGAACTTCTGCAAGCTACCTCCTACTTCCAAGCTGTGCTCCATGGAGGTGAAGGTGAGACTCTTACTGAAATAAATGAGAACTAGACACGTCAGCAGCTCACAGTTTTGCTTCCTAAGCACAAAAGCAGACTGGGTGGTTTGAAAAAGACAGTTCCTTTCCAGTGAGCCCCATGCTACTCAATTTAGAGCAAGCTGGAGAAAGCCAGTGGCCCTTTCTCATTATGTTTTAAAAGTGATCTACTGTTTGTACATAAGCCAAGTGCATTAACAAGGTAAAGCCAAAATCCTTTCTTTAGTCTTATGGGGATATGGATGGAGTAAATTCTGTTTCCACGTTATTCTTAAACTAAATGACTCATTCTCAGCTTAGCTTCGGAGCTGCATTCAAGCTGGATTCAAGGCAAACTTCTTGAAAGATTCTGTTTGATGCTTTAAGGTAGTACCATGACATAATGGAATAGCCCTCACTTTTCTATGAGGGAAACCCGACCTATTTATTTCCCTTTGAAAGGTTCTACAGATTACTGTACATGTGGCACTTAATTTATTCTTGTTACAAAAGAAAATGACTTATTACAAAAGGACTTTTCCAGTTATTCCTAAACACTAGTGGGTGGTCTAAGCAGTAAAGCTGCTTTGAGTAGCAGTCAAAACTGTATTTGCATGTTACTTTTTAATATTGTAGTTTTCAGTTAATACCAATATTTTCCCCCAGCTGTTGCATTAAACCTATTTTCAAATAGATAGTTCATTTGTTTTGATTGTTCATTCAACAGCTTTTTGTATGAACCATCCCAAAGTATGTTCTGCATACATGAAAGAGGTTAAAATTAAACTTCAGAAGTGTCAGCTTCCTAGCTTTTACCCATAAACATACTAGCCAGCCATAGCCATCCATTTCATAATCGCCTAGTCAGTCATAAATATTTCCCCAGCATAACTGGCTTACACCTCTTCCTTTAAATGTTGATGGCATGGGCATGCTTCTTGCACAGGGGTTTATCCTTCTTGGAGTAAAATGGTTGGCCTTCCAAATTCACATGGCATACCTAGAAAAATAACAAATGCAATCAGAAAAACAGAAAAGACAATTAAAAAAAAATGTGATTATCAATGTCAACTGTGTTTCTTTCCAGCCTGCACTTTTCTTTTTTTTTTTTTGGCTAAGTCTACACAGCAGAGTCAGGAGTGCCTGACTTCCTGGATCAAAGTGCACGCTCCCTGGTACCTTTCCCAACTCTGTGCTGAGGTTGGCCCTGGTTTGCAGCAGCTCTCTGTTCTGTATTTTGCTGCAACACAAGCCAGAAGGCAGCTTCATCGTGTCCCAGCAGCGCCTGTGTAGACTGCCAAGGGAGAGTGACATTCTGCTGGTCTACATTCGGATTCTCCAAATATGTGATTTTACAGCAACCCCAGGGAGGTAGCATGGTCCCAGCAGTAATACCCTACCATGGTCCCCCTCACTCCTTTGCCCTGATACTGGTGTTTGTGCATGAGTCATTCCACAAGCTGATATCACTGAAAAGGAATTACTTTTTCTTACCAGGTTATTCTTCAACCTGCAGAGTTTTTTGGCTACGAAAGCACCGGTGTTGACACAGCAAAGCAGGTGGGAATGTATGGCTAAGGGCAGGGCAGGCCAGATTTAGATTGGCTTAACCTGCCCAGGAATTGTACCCACATCCACACTGAGTAGCATCCCCCTGCTCGCAAGGTCAGAGTTTACTAGAACCACTTACGGAAGTCAACGTATCAGAATCTAGACACAAGAATAAACTTTGACCCTGTGCTTACAGCAGGCTTAAGACCAGAGAGTGATAACATCAGCAATGTGCAACTGCAGTGAAAGGAAAACCATGTGAATGGATATGAGAATAAGCCTATTAGAAAGGAGCAATCGTGTTTATTTTCATTTGATTTTTATCCCACTGAAAGAATTAAAGGAAGCTGCTGTATCACAGATGTTCAAACTGCATTAACAAAACAAAGAGATCTCACCTCTGTAGAAACATGGGTTGCTAATTAAAATAGTAAATGAACATGTAAAAAAGAATAGGAAGCATTCAGAGAAAGTGTTGAAATTTTACAAGTGAATAAGCTGTTAGTTTGTGCATGGAATTGGCTGCCTCAGTACTGCTTTTGGTGCTACAGCTTCAAAGATGCTTCCATTTTCAGATAAAGCCATCACCGGGTCACTCACTCCCCAGGGTCCTTGAAAGAGCAGCAGCCGCTTGGCTTAGCTATAGATATTTTAAGTATTTCTATACTTTCACTTTTCAACCTAAATTACTGAGCTGGGGCTCAACAAACATTTGAAATGGTCACCGTCATTTCTGATGTGGCCAATATACTATTTGTACCTAATTAGAGATTTTAAATACTGTTAATTATTTTCAGAATAATGATTGGGTGGGGATTGTACAGCGGTAATAGGATCATATGGAAAGTACTATTATTGTATGAATCTTACTATTTTGTATAATCCTATTTGAATGTAAGTATAAGTATACAGCTATGTAACTGTACACGTGTCACAGACAGATGAGTTCGACCAGATCTACGCTAATTACTATTCATTCTATCTAAACAGATTCCTTTTACAAGTTTCAACAAGATTTCCGCATGGAAATGTGAACTTGTCAGCTTTGTAAGCAAGATTATAGCTATACTGCTTGGTATGGCATTAATTTATTTTAAATTTTGATGCATCTTCTTTAGTAGCACTGGAAAGAATAATAAGAAATAGTGCTATTTATTCCTGTATGTACAGGCTCTCTCTAAAATCATGTGCTATATTAAAAAGCACTTGCTTACAATGCTCTAATTTTAACACTTCAAGTAAAAGTTTAGGGAGAAGAGCAACCATCCCCATCTGCCTCCATCCACAAGTAAAAATGAAATCCCTTTCCGTTCGTAGGTGTATGCCTTCCACATCTATCAATGTTGCTTTATAATTAATAATAAGAATCATAAAGATATCAGATGTTTTTAGGATAGAACCTACAGCACAAATGAAGCAGGTATCATGCCAAGTGTGTCCAAGAGCTTCAATGAATTTATCTCCAGCTTCAACAGGAAAATCACAGCCATGGCATTTTGTGCTGAACAAAGCAATGTAATCTAAAATAAAACAAACAAACAAGCCTTAGCACAAGCTCATAAGAATCACATTACATCCAAGAAAAATAGAAAGTTTCTAGAGGATGATTTTCTTGGATTATTGTTGCTCAGAATTTTTACTGCATTCATTGAAACTCCCCTATGAAGAAACAGGAGAGCTGCCTTTTTTTCTTACTCCAATACAAATTCAATTTTAAACCCCACACTGTTACAGCAGTACAGTTGTTACTGCAAGTATAACAAACAAACACAGAAAATTCAGGAAATTGAAAGCTTTGTTTCTCACAGTAGCTTTAAATTAGCTTTAATGCATGTGTAAGCTACAAAGGACAACTGTGGTCACTGAAAAGAGTCTAATGGCCAGTGACTGTTACCTTAAGGGTGGTTTAGAAGCATAAACCCAGGCAAACAGCTTAACGGGAGAGGGAGGATACGGACAGCAACCTGTTGATGCTGTACAGAAGTGCTAGCAGTACTTCTTCTTGCCCCAGGAACATGTGGATCCTAGGAAGTAGGATGCAGGTAGGGCCCACCAGGGATGTGAGAGAGATGGGAAAAACAGGAGGCAGACAGATGAAAGATAAATAGGTAAAGGAGAGAAATGAGGCAAGGCAGTCTGGGCCACAGGGAGACTTGCCCTGCCTATCTATTACGAAGTGAAGAAAAATAGAGTGGGAAGCCAAACTAGATTTTTGTTTTGCTGGTGTCTTTTTTTTTCCCCTTTTGTTCTTCTGAGCACTCTCTTGGCTCTCACGTTGCCTCCATCCGGCAGGAAGCCCAGGAGCACTGAGCAGAGGGGCCCCGTTTGCTGTACCTTTCTCACAGTAGGGCTCCCCGTCTTCCATGTGAAAGAGGCTATTCCCAAACGGCTTCTTGCAGGCAGCACAGACAAAGCAAGTGGTGTGCCAGGTCTGTCGCAGGGCGTGCATCACCTCCTGCAAAGCAAACACAGGTGCTGCAGCATGACAGCGTGTGCCCTCCTACCCACCGCAGCACGACCACAGCGCACACATGCTCCCCACTTCTCGTCTTCTATCAACACGTTCCTCTCACCAGAAGAAACTGACAGGCCAGAAACTGGGCTCCTCTGGAAGGAAGGGGAGACGGCAGCGCTGCCAACCTTCGGGAGCATCAGATGTGCCAAAGCAAAACCCCACAGCTCAGCCTGCTCTTTGTACCGACATGCCCAGGTGCTGGCGCAGGAGCGACTCCGCACAACTGCCAGCTTCTTCCCTCCTTTGTTTTGACACTATTGGTATGAACTCTTCACTGCAAGAAGTGCAGCGAAGCACTAAATCTAAATAAATTCCCAAGGGTAATTTTCCCTCTAAGACCAAGAAATGCTTGCAGGAGATAAATGATTTTAAAGTCCAATGTTTTCAAGCCAACTTAATTAGGTGCTCCTTTCTTTAAGCTTCTCACAAGAAATATTCAAAAATGAGTATGAAAAAAATTTAAATACTTTTTTTTTTTTTTTTTTAGATTTTAGCTCCTATGATTAGTCAGAATGAGTTGGTGGGTCTGTTCTTAGGCTGTAGCATTAATCTTAAAATCTGCCCTACCGATGTTTCCCAGAGAAAAAAAAATATATATATATATATATTTTACAAACTGTAACTTACTGTGACACTACTACAAATTACTGACACAAAAGTGGGCTGTCCTTAGACTCCCAGCATTCCCCATTGCTTCCTTCTCTCCCTATATGGATCCCCTTGTTTCCAAACAAGTGTTTATGTAACTAAACAAAGGAAGTGGCTTATTTTTGCCAGCATAGTTTAACCCATGTTGATTCCTTAGTCATTTGAGTGTGTGGCCACACATAAGTTAATCCCAGACCAAGAAACGGACAGCACATGTGACAGAAAAGAGTAACTGCAAGTAGTTAGAGAGTGTAACAACTTCTCTTAGCATAAATATCAGCTTATGGTATTCATGAAACCTCAGATTCAGTTGTCCAAGTTCGTTTGTTCATGTGAACTAATGCAGATTCCAGCAGCTGTCTTCTGAAAATCTTCTTTTTAATTCTCCCTATATAAAATATTTTGAACAGAGTACCTGGAGTTTATGGCTTCTTTTCTCCACTATGGAGCTGTCTATTGCTGCTTCATTATCTTGTCACACTGAAGTTCTGCAAGTCCACGAGCTGCTACACCGAGCTCTGATGCAGCGTTACCTGCTAGTTTGTTATCCCAACTGCTGCTCAAGGAGATGGGACACTGCATGTCTATGGAGCAGTCGAGATTTCCAAGGGCCAGATGTTCAACTGGTGTAAATTAGTTTAGCCTTATTAATTTCAATAAAACAACACTGATTTACACCAGCTGAGGATGTGGATCCTGGATTATGTTGCTTCAGATTTAGTATGAAGACTGTTTTTTTTTTTTTTTTTTTTTTTTTTTTTAAATCTCCACTGACAAAAATCACTGAAATCCTTTCCATGCTTTCAGCCTACTGTATAGCCAAGGGCTCATTTATGCTTGCCATATATCTCATTATAGAATCACCACCGAGATTCATTAACTTACCCTTTGCAAATCAATTGCCATTGAGAAATAGGCTTGTGTCCATTTGAGAACACCACAGGCTGAGAAATCTTATTAATATAAGGAGAGGCAGCTGGCATCTTTGCTATTTTCCTGATGAAAATCCATAACAGAGAACTGATTTCTGCCATCATTAATTAGATAAGTTAAGTCAGTACTCTGCTTTAAAATTACTCCTACGGCTGCAGTAGTAAATGGGACTTGGTTGGAGCCAGAGCTCTGCCATAAATGTCTAATGCTGCCATCCCTAATTGGCAATTGCAAAGGAGAGCATCTACTTTGCTGATGCCAACATTTAGAGATGTCAAAAGGTAAAGGCTAAGTAGTGAAAACCAGTGTGGCACTCCTTGCTTTCCCATTTAAAGGAATCATGTCATATATTCACTATAACTGCATGTATAAATATACTGCTAAAATTAAATTACAGTATTCCAGCTGCATCAGCATCTATGTAGAGCATCATTTACTTGTATCTGAGGATAAATATATTAAGACAAAAGTGGCATCTAATTTTGCCCTTCTGGAATTCAAAATTATATTTTATTCTTTATTTTACTTTCTAAACTATAATAAGTCAATGGATTTCCTTTGGGCAACTGTATTTCCAGTCAAGAGTGAGGTGCAATGAGAGAAATGTGCCTCTTCCCAACTTCAGTGATGCTTTACAGAGATTTAGGTTAAGTTGTCTATTAAAAAAAAATCCCAATTCAAATCTCTTATTATGAAGGCATGGGAAGATAGCTGAGAGAAATCTACCAACTCATATGTTAAATATATCAAAGAACTATCCAGAAAATGGTTTTTATTTTAAACTGTGAGAGATAGTAACTGAATTATGCACTCTGCCTATGAGTTAAATAAAACACAAAAGTAGCCAAGATCTCAGAGAGTTAAAAATTATTATAAAAGAACTCATATTTCTCCTTCTGGAATAAACAACAGGCTGGGAAATTATTGTTTAAAAAAGGGAAATAACTGAATATCTATATTCATTGCTTGTAGCTGAAACCTTGTCTAATTTCACTGGTCCCCTTGACTTACCCCCATGATCTTAGTGTGGCATCTGGCACAGGTGGGTGCAAAGAACTGCTCGTAGCAGCGCTCACAGTACACGCTATTCTGCTCCTCCACAAAGCACACGTCAGCCAAGGATGTCTTGCAGTAAGCACAGTTGAATTCTTCTGGGTGCCAAGAGCGACCCATGGCTACCAGGAAAGGACCCCTACAAATAAGATAATTATTATTTGCAAGACAAATAACACTGAACGACGCCAATTACAAACCCATTTTGCTAGGCATGTAGCAAGCACTACAGGTGAACAATGAAGATGCATATTAAAATAAGATCCGGAAACCTGAACAGAAATGGATAGTCTTTTTCAAGATTATTACTAAAACATTTTGCAAATTGGTTAAAATACTTGATTATTGTTTAGACAAATGCATTTGATTTTTAAAGGATCTGAAAAAATCCTCACTTGTTTGCATATCTGCCCAATGATAAATGTTTTTTGTGACCAGCTGCAAAATATTTTAACACAGTTCTTAAAAAGGACACACAGAATACAGAAACTTATAAACATCAGACTGCAGGAAAAGACTCAAGAATTGTAATATACAAAATAAAGCTACTATTTGAAAGCATGAAAAAGCAGGCAAATTTCCAAACCTACACACCCTCATTTCACAACAGTTCCTCAAGTCCCCTGCTTTCTTTGCATCTGAGAGAACTGCATGCTGCCTGTTCTAAAAATGCCAACTATTAGATGGCAACTTGCTGTCATAAGGCAAGGCACATTCGGCTATTTTTGTTGATTTACTTTTGACTGTAATTACACGTAGTTATTAGAATTTTATTCTGTTATTACTGGAGTCTTTCTGTTTTAGAACAGGGGGATAATCAGCAGATCCACATCACTAAACTAGCTCCTTGGAGCAAGCACGACTGTCGCTCAGCACGGATTCGAGCTGGTTAGCAGTGCACAGGGTAACCATGGGCAGCAGTCCAGCAGGAGGAACTGGAGCGGGGAAGGGAGAAGCGTGCTATGAATCACTGATAATAGAGCATAGGCATTATCTTGCTCCAGACACAAACGCAGCAATTACATTTGGCTGCTGTTCCAAAATGATGTCTCATCCCTTTTCTTTCTACCATCCCCTCTTTTTCCACAGCTGACCCCTCCCAGTCCCTCCCTGAAATTCTATGCACCTTTGTCAAGAGGTACCTTATGGACCAGAAACTTGTTTAAAAAACAAACAGGGATTAGCCACAGCATCCATGAAACGATTAGCGTGTATAACTTCATAGTGATAAAATATGAACCACACAATGATGAAATGAGCTCTGGAAATGTTAAATTAATGAAGCAGACAACAGACATCCCTGCTGGGTAATTTAACTGAGTCTTAGGCTCTGTGACTGTATATTAATGCATAATAACCAGTCGCTCTGTGATACCTTTTTTCCCTTTTTTTTTTTTTTTGGGCTTCATCCCTCTTCAAATCCTCTTACCGAATTATGCTGTTACAGTGCCCACACAGAGGGGTTCGGCTGCTGGCTGGAAACCGCTCAGCCCTCTGAATTGTTCCCCGGGCTACTGCAGGAGCCTGGGAAGAAGCTGAAACTGGGGATGGATAAGCTGAAGTTGAGGCAGGAGATGGTACTGGAGCACCCCGTGGAAGGATGTTCTTGGTGACAGTGGTGGTCGTTTTTCCAGGCGCAAATTTTTGGGAAAAGGAGTCATCTGTTACCCACGGAGGGCGGCTTGCAGGCTCAGTGTTTGCAGGGGTGTAGGAATGAACTGGTGCTGGTGCTGTTTTAAGTATCCCAAAAGAAACCAAGAATTATTTTAATAATTCTTTTCTGCTGATGGCAAAACAGTAACACTTATCAAAGGGTACTTACACACAACAACATAAAAGCTTGAGATGACACTTAATTATAGTCTGTTCCATTATCATTCATTAATTCTGAATGGACTGAATGTAGTATCAGCAAAATCTCTGACATTACTCACATCACAGAAATCATTAAAACCTTCTGGCTTTTACAGAATTTATAGAGACCATTTTTAAGAACACCTCACTGTTCCTGCAATAGGAATGGATGTCATAATTTCAGATTGTTACCTGATGTGTCTAAGACATGGAAAAACGGAAATGCCAGGTCATGTAATAAAGTTTTAGACAAAATTTCCTATAAATTTACTAAGAAGTTACCCTTAAATTTTGACCTGATTGTATTGGGCAAAATGCAGCATTTTCCGCAGATGTCACTCTCCTCTGCAATTCATATCAAGTTTTACTTGTAGGTTCCTGCAGTAACATCGGTGGATGCAGGGAAGGCAGCGACAGACGGAGGGCGCTGGCAGCAACGCTCAGGGCGCCGCTCCAGCTCCCGGGCAGCAGCAGAAAGGCCGCAGCACCTCGGGGAAGTCCAGCCTTGGGGTATCGTCTCATGGCAGCTCAGTTCTTGGCCCCGCCACAGGCGCCTTTATAACTTGCAGCGAAGTGCAGTGTCTCTGCCTCAGTTCCCATGTACAAAATTGAAAATTATGCACTATTTAACAGTCTTCTCTTAGCCTATATCCTGCATAGCACACACTGATGACTGAATTGCAATTGCTTAAACTGCTTGTATAGCACTTGAGTGCAATCACCCTCAAGACCTCTGGCTTTCTGCTTTTTACTGAGATCAATATTAAATCTAAAGCAACTTCTTGATAAAATTCTCTTATACTACAGCATCATCAGATTTTCTGCTTCATAATTCTGTATCCCACCTTAGCTTGAGGCTTCTTTTTTTCACCTGGGAATGGCAAACAGTGTTTAAAGACTTCAGAACAGACAGTTTATATCCAATCTCTTTAAACCCTGGGGCTGTTGCTATTTATGTATTAAGGTATTAAGCCAATCAAAATTAGAAGGTAATATTTCATCTCTAATTGGTGAGTTCAAAAAGCTCCCACCTATGAGGCTCTGTGATTAAAAAAGGTGACTTCCAGCTCAGTGAGCTTTGTGAAGGGATTTTCCCTCTCCTAAAAGCCAGGTCTTGCTCATGCAAAGCATGGCAGGGTACTCAGGAGGCCCAACAGAATGGTTAGATATTCAAACCCAGACTTCCAAAAGTGAAGAGAGAGTGCAGTCCTATTGGACAATCTAGGTACAATTTTTACTATGTCTTCCTCTCAGTTTTTAACCTTTTCTTCCTTATTCTCATAAATAGTATCAATATGTTATTTTGATCACTTTGTTTATTCTAACAGTTTAGACAGCACATGATTAATTTGGGTTTAGAGTAATGTATACTCCTTTCTAGAATCAATTCTGGGGATGACTGTCTCTTTCTTTCTTTCTTTTCTTTGTTTCTTTCTGCTTTTTCTATTTCTTTTTCCCTTTCTCTTTGTCACTGTAAAAAGAAAGCAATAAGATAGGCTTTTTTTTTTTTTTTTTTTGAGTTGATGAAAGAAGATGCCAGAGGAATTACTGCAAAATGACAAATATTGAGTATCCGCAACTCCTCCTACTTCTCTGCAGTTCAATAACTGTAGTAGTACCATTCAGGTAGCACCATTTAACTTTAAAAGCTGGACTTATTATAACATTCTCCCAAAGTAAACAGGTTTTCAAATAACATCATTGCAATGCACCAAAATGTTTTACTGAGATTTTTTAGCTATGCTTATTAGGAGGTATTTATTATTTTATAGTTGTATCCTAAACTCATATGAAAAACTCCCTAGCTACTGCCATACAAATTCACCTTACATGTTTATCTATTTCAGCATTTTCCACCATACATAGAGCAGATAAAAGGTGCTGTCTGCTCTTAACAAGGACTAGATTCAGTATATCAGAGGATAGAATCTCACAATATCAGCCCTGTATCAACTGACCCACGGCTGTTCAAAAATAAATACTTGAAATGATTCAGTAATTCAACCTCTACCACCCTGTTTCCCTCAGGCTCTGCTTCTCCTATAGTACAAGGGAAAGAATGGGTTTTATTGTTATCTTGTGGGCATGGTAGAAGAGGTCTCACTTAACAGCCATGGGAACGGGCTGCCACTTGGCTTCCAAAGGGTTTGGAATTCTCCCCTTCAGATCTTACTCTACGCTTAATAGATATTTTCCCTCCAGGAAAAAGGCAGCTTTCCAAATAGCAAAGATCTGTGCAGTCTCAAGTGCTTTAGACTTGCATCTTATATTGCACCGTGAAAACAATTTCCCATTTCTTTCTGTCTGTTAGCAGCACACAACTGTTAATAACAATTTTCCGGGAGCAAACACAATTCATAATTAGAGCTGATTGGTCTTGTTCTCCACTTAGTGGCCTCATTCTCGAAACCCAGGATTTCGCTGTGTACTGGTCCAGTTTATAGTGGAGGAGAACCAGATAATGCAACAGTCTTTGCACATATTTATAAAAGGACACGATTCTTTTCCAGAAGAGTTTATGTTATAAGGTGGCAGCAGCACATAATCTGCTCTTTTAGGATCATTGAGAAGTTGGGATCTGTGGGAAGTTTTCCCTGATTTCTATGTCATCAGGCCATCACTCTTCTACATATATGAGTACTCCTATTTGGCCTTTCTTGCTTTGGGCTATCTAGTTACTTTGTAGCTTGAAACTGGTGTTTAGGTTGTTCCAAATCCAGGCAAGCTCTATTCTCATCTGGGACAGCAGACGGCACAGGAAGATACAAGGACTTCCTGCCACCTAGTGTTCCCAGAAGGAAATCTATGCGTCTTTGAGGAACAGGCTGTGAAACACCAGGGGCACACAAGAGAAAAGATATCACCTCAGAGTTTTCCCCACAGGTATGAAGAAAGATGTCTAGCAGCTGAAAACTTCCAGTAGAATTAGTCAAAGTATTTCCTCTTTGCCATAAAGTGTATATTTATTCATTCCTCTCATACAAGCCAGATATTCAGCTTATTTCATTTCTGTCTCCAAGTGTTCATTCTTAAACCACTCTATCAACATGGATGTGCCCTTGGATTGCTAACTGAGCGCCACCAGGTTATTTTGCAAATGCATTTCTTTTGAAAATGCAGACAACACATTTTTCTTGCAGTCTTTTCCCTTGCTTTTCTTCATCCATTCATTCCACATATTCACTTCAAATTAAATCCTTAACCTTGAGATAATCGGAAGCAAAACTCTAGCAAACCAGGACCATTTGGCTCCTTGCATGTAAAAAACCTTTTCTAATATACGTATCCTACAACGAAACCTGCATTTTCTTTAAACAGACAAAACCAAATCGCTGGAAACTATCCTGAATCCTTTCAGAAACTGAAGGCACCTTACCTGGCTGGTAGACAGAGGGCTTTATGCTGGCAGTAGTGACAACCCTTGGTTTTGAAGTGGCAGAAGCAGCAGGACTTTCGCCATAACTTGCAGAAACTGGTGTTGGTGCATAGGATTGGCTTGTATTTCTAAAAACAAAATGAAGCTATAAGCAATTTCCTAAACAGCAAGAGCTATTGATTACGAAATCAAGAGATCGGGCAGCTTCCACAGTACCCCAGAGGCGCCGTCCTTGAGAGGTACAGAGAGAATACTGTGATATTCATCCATCTTCAGCACTATTAAGGAAGACTGACAATTCTCTGAAAAGAAAACTATCTGAATAATGACTTTAAGTAATCAAAATTCTTCTTGCTGTCACAGCAGATAACTTACTGAAGGAATATGATTGACTAATAAAAATCTCAGTTGAGCAAGGGATTGGACTTCAGGAATACACATAATATGTTTGGGTTTTCTTTCTTTTTGCACACAACCAGGCCCACTCTGTTTCAAATGAAACTTATGAGGGTTTTCTTAAAGGGAGGGATGACTTAAGGACGACACTGTCTCTAAACACACTATATGAAATTTAATTACTTCTACTAATGTTTATAAGCATCACACTGTTTTCAAAAGCATTGAAAGGCCTTGGAAAAGCACTTCTGAAACTCTTTTCCACATTCAGATTGAGAAAATTTACATTATTTTTTCTCAAGTTTGGATTCAGCTAATCGAAAAGTTCGTGACATACAACATTGTGATTTCTTTTTTTGCGTTCGTAGATTAAGAATCTTTGCTCAGGGTTTTCTTCCTCCATTTGATGGCTCAGATGCTGCTACTCAATTTGATTATAGCAGAAGATAGAAGTGGATGCTTTTTCTGTTTGCATGTTATTTAGGATGATTCTGTTAAACTGTTAAAAGACTATTGCAAACAAAGTAAGGAAACAGGAATAAAGAAGTACAAGGAAGTGAGGCAACAGATAGTGAAATTTAATGGGATTTCTGCAACAAAAACTTTTCATTACTGAACATCCTTCTTCTCATATTTTTCCCTTTCAGTCTTACCCTTTCATTGGAGTAGTCATCAATACTTACTGCTTGGTTAAACGTTTTTAAAGCGTTTGACATAAAGCCCTAATTTGAAAATGGCACACACTTAATAATGGCTCCTCCCAGACGTACAGGCTCATTAGTTGGAAGATTCATTTCTACGAGTTGATAGACAAAATGCAAAAGGAAGTTCTGAGCCAGATTAATGATATTTAGACTGTCAGGAAGGAAAATGGTTATACAAAATTGAAGAGTTTGCCAAAGTTAACAGAATGACAAAACCATGCCACCAGATTTTCTTGTACACACAGTGAAAACAAAACAAAAACACTAACGACCTTTTCAAAGTACCCAAATCATCACAAAATTAACGAAGTTAACTACTGAACTCTTTTACAAGTCAAAGTAATAACACATATTAAACAGAATGAAGAATAGAAAAAGGCTTCTCAATGAGAAATAAAGTGTAACACTACATGATTAACGCGTTTAGTGAAGTTAAGGCAGCTTTCGAAAGATTTATTGGATACAGTTTCTTTGAAAGAAAAGGAAATAGCAATTAACAACAAAAACAACAAAGTACGTCCCAAGGATTGAAGATGCTTTAATGGAAGCAATGGCATCTCAAAAAGCAATGAAAGCACCCTGACTCAATTTATCTGTAGCAGCCAATGATAGGTGAGAGGCAGCAAATTAAAGATTGGCTCTGAAAACTATTAGTTGCCAGAAAGAGTAAATCTTTAATCAGATCATTTTTATGTTAATATTAAATATATGTCTGCTAGCAGCAATAAACTGGCTTGTTAAGTGCTTTTAATGCACAGTAACTGCACAAAATAACATTTTTATACCTCTTTTTTGACTGGTAGCTGATGGAGGTGGAAGAATGCCGGTTGAAACTAGAATGAGACAAAAGTTGTATCTGAGGAGTGTATGAAGGAAATTGGGGTACCTGTCCTGCAATTAATTTCCTTATAGATAGAAAGTACACTTAAGTGCTAAACAACTTGTAATATTTTTTAAGGATTTAAAATAATTTAATAAGTATTATAGTGTATTCTGTTATCTTCTTTAAAATAGGATCATACTGAAAACTCAATAAAGGAGAAATAAAGAAGCTGACTGTATTGCTCCCCATCTCACTCCCATCCAGTTTTTGCTAGCTCTTTAGCTGTATAATTCTAATTCAAGCCCTGGAGGGTATGCTTTGACATTCACCATTGTTTTGTATTAGCATAGAAAAATAAGCATGTTTTTGGCACTGTCATAAGCTTAAGCCACTTCAAATCTTAAAAGACAACTTTCAATGAACCAAAGCTCAAACACCGACTAAGTTTCCATGTTAATTTTAGGGTAGTAAGGGCAATTCCATAGAAAGGTGGAGAACGTATTCAAAGCAACTGCTTTAAGTTACCACATTGAACAAAACTACCCCACCGTGAACATCCCAAATACTCTTGGGGGGGGGGGGGGGGCGGTTTTTTTTTTTTTTTTTTTTTCCTTGAGAAAACAGCATCATTTCAGAATTCCTTTAGGAAATGTCCAGGATTCCTTCGGGGAAGGACAGAAAGGATGCAAGGGCCTGCACAATGCACCACCTGAGAAGCGAGAGGAATCTCAGGGCAGGCAGCTTCTGCCCAGCGGCCCCTGAGGCTGCACAGCAACAACTGCACCCACGACAGGGCAGCCTACGCTTGCCAGGAGGAGCCTGTCACACGCCAGGGATTTCTGTAACTTGGGAGAAGAGCTTGTCTTCCTCTTACCACAGAAGCACAGTGCTTGGATTAAAACTTTGGAATTACAGATGCTACTCCTTCCCTTAACAGCCCTAATCCTAACTAGTAGCTCCTCCTGCATTTATATTCCTCACTGGTTGTCCTGTTTTTGCCCTCCATGTGAAATAACCAACTGCATTAAAAGCTTCATGGCTTAAGACTCCTGCTCTGCTTTCTCCTTTCTAAGATTGTAAATGAAAAATTAAGTTTAACTCTGTAGATTCAAAAATAAGAGAAACAGATGTAAAGAGAAACAGTCAGTTAGGGATTTATAACACGCTTCAAACATTTTTCTTTAGGAACACTACAAAGATTTTACTAATGGTAGGTATTATGTGTACAGTCTTGCTCACAAAAGCAAGATTACTATATAACTGCTTTAACTAAATTTAAAAATAGACTTAATTAGTTAAGGATATTGATCAAGAAACTATCTGACATTTCTTGGTGGACCTTTCTAAGGTACCTCCGAGGAAAAAGAAAATAAAACAAACAAAAAGACAAAGCAGTGGATGAATAGTAGCAAAATCTCAGGCCAGCTCTACCTGAATGTTTTACAGGATGGGGATACTGTTATTATTAGGGTCAGCCACATTAATTTGAACAAAAATCGTAGAAACTCCTACAATTCCCCAGTGGTACATACCAACGACAAAACTAGATTTTCAAATCTGTACTTTGGCATTTGAAACCCTGCTTCTAAATGAAAACTATCAGATACTTAACAAAATTTGAAACAAAAATGAACTCAGGAGCCAGTTCTAGACTCCCATTTTTGAATACGCTAGCTGAAACATTTGATAGTTTAAAACAAAGAGACAAACTGTGCACCAAAAAAGAACCAATCTCAGTTCCTACACAGCTATCTAACAAAAAATAAAACATTTTGCTTTTTATACCCATTTTTCAGTGAATCAATTTTACACAGGTTTACCGAGTTTCCGATTTGACTGTATTTGACTGTATGTCATTTAAATGGGTAAGAAATTTAAAAAGTTCAAAGCAGTCTCCATCTTCATCAATCATTCTAGCGCTGTTTTTGCGCCATTACATTTCACATTCCCGAGTCCTCATGGACACATAACCACTGTGAATGAATTCATAGCTTCAAGCCCTCATCCTGCTTCCTCTCTCCAAATGAAAGGGATGCAAAATAAAAGTGAAAAGGATAAAGGCTCAAAAAATATTAACCTAGGGCTAAAATAGCCATGCAATTAGTGCTGATAAATCATAACTATTTTATACCAGTTTACTAACTGTTTATATGTAAATTATATGTAATACTGATTACATGTCTGTCTTCACAGAATAACTAAGCACTCAAATCTTGTAAATTCATACATAAAATCGGATGTCGCTGACAGTAAAATGATCCTTAAAAGATCTGCTATTCTATTCTTACCCTCTATTCTCAGTGACATGCACCATCTTCAGGGCTTAACTGAAACTAGATTTATGATCAGTGTACTTCTACTCAAAGAAACAAAATTACTTCAGCAATTAGTTTTACTTCTTATGCTTTAGCATCTCTATATGGGAATTCAAATCAAAAAGTCTGGTTTGTTGTGAGACTCCAAATTCTCTTCTGTTCTACAGCTGTTCATTTAATTCATTTCAGTGCGATAAACATCTAAAATACTTTGAAGTATATATGTGTGTATACCTTGTTCCTGCTCTTTTCTATCATACTCTCGAGAAAGATCACTGTACTTTTTGGATGACAGCCTTCAAACTTAATGTGATCTATTCATTTCAAACAGCACCTATGGGTGAAGTAGCTACCCTTTATATTAAGATAACGAGACAAAGATAATCACAATCATTTCAAATGTTAGCACTGACTCTCAGCCTCTCACTGTTTTTGAAGACTCTACTTAAATAGTGAAACTTTTTCCTCTGTCAGTCCTGACAGGCGCTCATGAATGAAAGCAATGAGAAAGCTTCACACTGAGACCGTACCCTTTACTTCTAGTGCTAGCTCTGCCTTTCCCTGTAAGCGGTCTGTCACTAGTCATGATTTAAAAGAACAGAAGAAGGTTCATGATACCTTCAAACTGCATCAGGTGGGCAAGTTATGATCTTGTGTGCCCCCCAAGAAAAAAGAGTCATTGTCTCCTATTCTCGCTAGCCAAATATATTCATTTTAAGATGGTTAAAAAAAAACAAAAACAAAAAACCCACAAACTTACTGGACAAACAAACTTTTTGTCCTATATTCTAGGTCTAAAACCTCTTGTTTTTCCCAGCTTGGTTTTCACGTGAAAACAAACAACAAGGCTGTTTCATTAAACATGTCACACATTTCCATACTGTCAATCTAACCGCTTCAGAAGCTGCAAACTTTAAAATGGAGAGAATAATATCAAGTAAAACAAATTAAATAAGAAGAAAATGAAGAGAGCTTTACAGATATACCTAGACTGAGATGAGATAGCAGATGAGATAGTGGAAGCTGCTAATGACATGTTCTTGGACCCAAGAAAAGCCTTAGGTTGTGACAGAGAGCTGGGGGAGGCAGGCACTCTGCAGAAGACACAGTTAAAAGCAAGAAAGCATGTACCAAACAATTTTACAGGGATTACAAAACAGTGACATGAAAAATAAGCTTTGTCTAAATTCAGATGCAAGAGGACTGCTGCATAGTTACCAGCAACACCTGTGTTTTCTGTGGCACACCTCTGCAGACTTACAGAATAGCATAACCATGCACATCCCTACAGAACACAAGACAAAATGCACACATTACGCAAATTTTTAAACTAGAATCTCTTGGTAATAAAGAAAAACAATATTTCAGGACAGAACTTTTGTCATTGATTCATGCTTTTCCAGCAAGGGCTGAAGATGTTTGTGTCTGAACTCAAGCTAAACATTTTAACAGGCAAGCAGTACCAGACTAAAGATTCTCATATATTAATGCTTCTGTGACGAGCCAAGGAAAGTCACTGATATGATTAGTTTAATAGAGTAATTTCTGAGGCCTATAATAAATAATACATTTTTTTCACATTATAGTTTAACCTGAAGAATAAAATTATTAACCTGCATTGTTGTTTCACGTGAAAATGCCTTTCAACACAGTTTAGAATTGTAGTTTAATACCTTATTTGAACCTCCTTTACTGGTTGAATGTTTGACTTTCTTGAACTAGAAAAAAAAACATTTGAGTCCAGTAGGCCATGGTTAGGAAAAAAATGACTTAAGTGAGAAATCAAATAGCTGGTATACATAAACATTTTAAGTAAGTTGGAAAAAACTGTAAAAGAAACAGAGCAAATTACGTAACTGTATGATAGCACAGACTACTTCTCAGTTAGGTCTCAATTACGCAAAACCATTTATGTTACTGAAGATGTGTTTTCTCCTTCAAATCTTAAAGCATCCTAAAATATATACCATTAAAAAAATCACGTAGCAAAATCCATAACAAGGAAATATAAATATAAAAAAATCACACAGCAAAATCCAAAATCCATAACAAGGAAATATAAATATGCATAAAAAGAATTCATTCTTATTCCTGCAACTGGTAGAATGTAAAAGACAACATCCGGGTCTTCACAGGCTCACTCAGTCTGATTTTTTTTTTTTTTTTTTTTTTTTTTTTTTTAATATTTTGCTCACTGTTTACCCTTTTCTATTGAAAGGTGCTACATTATGGTAAATTCAATCATATGAATAAATGACATACTGTAATTTTCTATTTCATATCATGCTTTAAAAACCATGAGAAGAACTTTCATTCACTCGTAATTACTAAGACGACTTTTTTTTTTTTTTTTTTTAAAACACTAGTGGCAAAAAAAAAAAAAAAAGGCATTTTTAGCCCCAGACCTGCTTTTTCAAAATGTAAACTGTACCCCAGACACAAAGCATTTTTTTCCTTATTTTTCTGGGCAGTTATATTTTGCAAACATAAACAACGCGCTTCAGCATAAGAATCAACACCAAAATATATAAAAGCATACAAATAGGCTACAGCTCTTGTATACTACATTCTTAAGAATGCATATACAGCATTTCCAGAGCCATCCAGGGGCACACCTGCGCAAGGAGAGCACATGGAAGCATTACCTTTGGAAGGAGGAGGAGAAGGACTCTTGCCCTGCGGAGGCGGGAGCGCTTGCTGGCGGCGTGGCGCTGCCGGGATTTGGAGCAGCGGCAGCAGGCGGATGCGCTGAAGCAGCTGGCACAGGAGCAGAGGCAGAGCTGGTGGACACTGGAGCATGCTCGACAGGGGTACTAGTTAGAGTTAAATTAAACAAGAAGCATTTTTAAAAGGTACGTATTTAAACGTAAAGCAAAAAATCTACTATGTTTGAATCTGAGGCCGCAAGCATAGTAGCAGGCTGTGTTACTGAAAGAAAAGCACAGAAATACAGAGTAGACAACATTCGTTAGGCATTTCTGGATGTGTAGTTAGGATGGCAATGCGGTTTGGGTCCTGCTCAATTGAAATTCACCTCAGGAGTTACACAGCACTGAATTCCTGCCCCACTGAAGCCAGAGGCATGTGGCACGCGGCGCTTCGATAGCTGTATACAGCCTATCGCAACCCCTTCAATCCGGATCAACTCCATCCAATGTTCCCTCCTGGAGCCAATGTTCAGATTCGGATTTGTTTTATTTAGATGATAAGGTTAAAGGATATTGTTATAGTCTTTTATCAGCAGAATTAGTGCAAATTCTGATAATCTGGAAACACTGTCATCAGAGACTTTGTTTTGTACTTATTCAAAGCATTTTGTTTAATGCTTGCAACAGAAAAATATTTTAAAAAATTAAAAAGGTTTTTTTTTTTAAAGCTAACTTTTTAAAGCTTCATGTCTGCCCTAAACTCCACGTAAATTCTATCAGCCAACTATTCCGGCAATTACAGGTCTTCACGCTCACGCCACAACCAAAAGACAACCTTTAAAACCACTTGGGTGATGAAGACCAGAGTTGTTATCCCTATGTTCCTCTAGTGAAACGGATGCTGTAGGATCAGAGAAATGTCAGTGTTTCTGTGTTTCAATGTATCTAATTTGTCATCTGCTATCTGAGCATCCAGTTCTCATTACCAAATTAAAGCCTCACAAAGATTCGCAAAGTACTTCCTACCTCTTATGGATAGGCAAATGGGACAAAGATGATGAATTAAACACCTACCCTAGAACAGTGGACAACTAATTAACTAGGTATTGAAGCAGCCATAGACAGCTGTAAATAAACAAAATAGAAACAGTTACATCATTAAAAAAAAACTACACTAAGAAAAAAAATGACAGAAACAGAAAAGGCAAGCTTAATTTTATCTTTGGACAAATTGCACTGTGGACTTTATCAGTCATTATCTACAGAACAAATAAGTCACTAGAAATAACTACTTATAAATTCAGTCTTCAAATTACAGTTACAGAAACTTTTCAGTGATAATATGAACAGCTAATATACCCAGGCCTAGTGGCTGTTGTTCTTGATATCATAGCTGTGTGCAATAGATCTATTTTCTTTGGTTATTCTAATACAATATTGAATTTTAGTAGTGTGTAATTGTATATAAGAACAATTATCCTCAAATTAGTGATATAAAAACATGTTTAAAGATGACAATGGATTTTTTTTCTTTTACCTCTTTTGATCCCACTCTTAAGTATTTGGCACATCTTTAGGTTCTTATAAATTACTCGCATCAAGATTACTCACATCGGGCGATTCTCCTGCGCAACGTATACAGAATGTCGCGAGTATTCTTTCCCTGAGCATAGCAAGTATCAAATAACATGAGGTAGTTTACAGTTCCAAGTCAATTTTTCAGTCAGACCTTTCAGCTGTTCTCTGAGTGACTTTGCCAGTGTTTTTCTTTGTCTTTCAGACACTGTATTTTCTTTTGCTTCTATCACCAGAAACAATGACTGAGCAAGTTATACCCCCTAGGAGCTACAATTGCTATTTGATACATCAGAACTCACAGCACTTCCTGCTCTTCAAGAAATTGTCCCATTTCCCCTGCCCTTCTCTAACACTACCTCCTTGTATGCTTTAGTAGTCTAAACGTTGCCGTTTTATTCCAGCTGAACTCCTTACCATTTGGTTAGCCGGAATCGGCAGTGTGGTGGTTATGCCCATTGACTTGCACAAAGTTTAAGCCAACCCATGGGGAAGGCAGCAAATCATTATTTTCTCCTTTCCGAGTTTCACCTGCCATTATAAATACAGCAAACGAGCACCTGAAAATATTACCCTTTACAATTCTGGTTTTCAAAGCAGTACACCTAACATTTTGCAATAGTTTTGCACATTTTTTTTTAATCATATATGCATTTCAAATTCAGACAAATTTACTTTTCTTGATGGTAAATGCATGATATTGTAAATTCTTCTGCTTTAGTTAAAACTATCAATTATATAGACTATGTAGCAGAGCAGACGTATATTATACATTAACCCATAATCCATATCTGTGATGTTCTACTGAACTTTAATATGTATGAACACAAAAAAGATTTATTTCTTCGCTAACAGTGAGCAATGGAGCTTTCACATTAAAAGGTGATGACTCAGAACTTAGTACTTATATATATGTGATTTGGCAAATATGCAAGGATGAAACTATACCAAAAATAAAATGGAACTTACTCTAAGTCCTAAAAATAAATACAGAGACAAAATACATGAAATCCTATTGCAATGGAAGTAAAAAGGAATTTGTTACAGATTTCACCAGAATCAAGAGCTTAAATATCGGCAAATAGTGAGGTAACTTATCTGCTGTAAAGATCTCTGAAATGTTACATGAAACACATACTCAGTGATTGTTATATGATGGGAAGATAAGAATGTGGTGGGAGCATTGAGCTGTATAGAAACAGATTGGAACTCAACAAACACACAAATAAACCAAATGGAAACATACTGGAATACCTATTAAAAGAAAAAAAAATTTTAAAATGATTCATTTTGTGATTAACATGTTAGAGGTTTGAACAGCTTCCTGTAAGGAAGAACGTATTAATTATTTAATAGAAGAAAGAAGGGCTTACATGAAGTACTTATAAATCTTAAAAATGAGGGTGAACTGATTTTGACATAAATTGGTTATATAAAGGTTACATAAAATATCTGCAAGTTGGTGACTAATTTGTTTATCAGTTTTACAGTAGTTTTAGACTGTGATTACTTCTTAGTTGACCCTTTAAAATTAAATATTTTCATAAATATTCAATTTATATCGTTGGAATACTAGTTTTAATAACATTTAACTTAGATTTAAGTTAATATTTACATATTTTTAGATTATTTTAATTGATGCAACACTGCTTCCACTTTCTTCTGCTGGACATGTTTTGTTTGAGCCACAGGATTCACATAAGACAAACAAGCGGCTCCTCTGAAGTCAGTAAGCCACAGCGCTGGTTTTGAAAATGTCAAGATTTCCTCTTTCGAGGAATTTCTATCTAATGTTTTTTTTTAATTCTTTAGATGCAGAAGAACTAAGATCTGGTAAAGGCAAATATTGCTTTATAAAACGGATTACCAATTTTAACAGCTTCATTACAGGCATATTACAGGTATTTTTGTTCAGGTATTCTGTACATTTTTCCTCATTACAGTATTGTGCATTTTAAGGAAAATCAAAGGAAATGTATATTCTCAACCACCTCTATATCTGTGGTAACAAACAGACATAAACGCATAACACAAGTTATGTGGATGGAAACACACACATGAATTCCATTGTTCTCACTTGATTTTCACTCACAAAAAGGAACACAGATCAGTAGAGGTTAAGGGGATGATAGTGGTTAACAACCATGATGAGAAAACATAGCAAGAAACACAATAACATTTTAAGAAGTAAGTGCAGATCACACTTTATCTCAGTGGAGTCCTAAGTTTCTGAGATTTTCTGTACAAACCACGATCGAGTGGATTACTGATGATGTACTTAGTCTCTTATGCAATACAAGAATCTTGTTTCAAATCTTCCACTGCATCTCTTGTAAAGAAACAAGGCTACAGGGGACAAGAACCCAGATGTATGCTGTAGCATTATAAGAATGCTGGAGAAGGTGTTTGGAAACGGACCTGACATGGAATAATTTTACCTTTAGACATGGGAATGTTTGTGCTTGTAGAAGTACTGACCAGGCATATACTTGATTTGATCAGCTGCAAAAGATCCTGAATAGCTGCTGCCAGCAGACTGTAGGTGAATTAATTGAGAGCCACTTAAAACATAAACCTCATATAAACGACAGATTGCTGGAATTTGTACAACTCATACTTCCATCTACTGGGAAATAGGATTTTCTGGGTCAAAGAGTTAGAAGAGGTTATTACCAAACCACTCCAAAGCTACAAACCAGGTCAGTTATGCAGATACATTTCACATAGTACCTGGGATTACCCGATGAAGTAAGAGGGACTTTCTGGCCAGTGCTGATGAAACTGGCCTCCCTCTGACTTGTACCTGCTCCAAGCCTCACAGAGCCCTTGGAAGCCACTGGTTTAGCATTGTCAGTGTTGGCATCCACCGGGTGCGACTGAGGAGGATGCCAAATACTCGAGGTCACATACTGTGGCGCATGAGTAGCGGTAGGCCTGAGTAGCAAAGATTACAAGGGATTCATACATGAGTGTTTTTTTTTTTTTTTTTTTTTTTTTTTTTTTTTTTACAC